CAGCAAGACAGATAAGTATTCAGTTTTTTTTGGTTTTTTTTGCAGTCAAGGTTTTTTTGACAGCAACAGGGGACACCCAACACAATAATCCCTTACTGTGATGGCTGGTCTTTAATTGCATATTAGAGCAGCCTAGGTTTAAGTGTTACCAGGAATTTGGATAAACTATTGAGAAGTGCCTGGAAGTACTCGAGGATAGTTATTTTTTATTCATTTTGCAACTTTATAGTTAAAACTAATGGCAAATTTGCTTTAAACTGTGTATATGTTTGTTTTATTTATATATATATATATACATATACATATATATATATATACCTTTTAGATTTAAAAAAAAATCCTTCAATTTACATTTTATAAGGGAATCTTCACTTTGCTTTGTGAATATGGTGAAAATCTACTTTGCGAAAATAACACAATCACATGAAAGGAAAAAGAAAAACAAAAAAATACTTCATTGGATGATGGAAGTGAGCATAGCTTCACCACATTCACTAAGCTATAGGCAGATTCTCCTACATAGAGACATAGGGGTCTATTCACAAAGCTGCCGAGGGCAGCCGAGTGAATGACCGATCAGAAGTGAAGTGAATAGCCGAACACTGTTCGGCTATTCACTTCAGGCTGGTACGGCTGATTTCAGCCGTATATCGGCTGTTCTCTGAAAGTGGCCGGAGCCAGCCGTAAGATCACGGCTGGCTCCGCCCAGCTGTCAGAAGCAGGCTGTCGGCCGGCCAATGGCCGGCCGCTCGGTCAGCTTCGTCTTTCAGCACGGCTCAGCGCTCGACTGAGCCGCTCGGCCGTGATCGGGAGCTGTACGGGCTATTGTGAATAGCCGTACAGCACCCCCTCGGTTCTCCTGAACCGAAGGGGTCCTGGTGCCGAAGCTAGCCGAAGGATCGGCCGAAGCTACGGCCAGATCCTTCGGCAGCTTTGTGAATAGACCCCATACTTCTTTTGTAAATCAACTCCTAAATGTCAATTCCTATTGGATGTAAGAAGTGCTTGATATTGAAATCTAGACTCCTATTGTTCATATAATGATTTGTAAAATAAAAATGGTTAGGGACAAAAACATAGAGGGCTTGAAAGAGAGCACAGAAATTAGAAGAATTATACATGATATAATTCAATATATATATAAATACGTTGTGTTCTTTGTAAGAACAATACATTATAGAAATCATATATAAATAAGGTGTGTTCTTTGTATGAACAATACATTATAGAAATCATTATATATAAATAAGTTGTGTGCTTTGTAAGAACAATACATTATAGAAATCATTATATATAAATACGTTGTGTGCTCTGTATTACAATAACATTGGATTTCACACAGATGTCCTGTAGTATGGAGTCCTTCATATAAACTACAACTGGTTGTGCAGTTGCTGCATGTAACCTGCTCTATGTGTTACTATTGTGTAGTAGACTTTTTTAAGGCATCAATCAATAAAGGAAACAGGACCCACTCCTCTATGACCTCTACAAAGGCTGCAAATTACATATATTTGCCCATAATGCAGTATGCTGTCATCCACTAAGGTATTAGACAGTGACATCAGGTTTTCCTGGAATGTGGCTAAGATTACATGCTTCCAGCGTGTTAGTAAGCACTGACTGAGGTCGCAATGTTCTACAGTGTCAGTGCTGCTTGTATCAGCTTCGGATTTGCTGCATTCTAAAACAGGGCTCTCTAACACGAGTCCTGCTCAACTCAGTATGAACCTGTTTATAAAAACTAGAGTAGAAAGAGGGAGCAACATGAAGACCAATCAGAATCCACTTTCTCAGAGCTTAAAAATTAAAGTGGAAGTTTAATCTGCTTATATTTTCTCTTCCCTGGTCCCCCCCCATCAATATGTCAATTACATTTTTTAAATAAAACCTTTCCATTTTCATGCCATGCCTTATTATGGATCCACTGATGTCATCACTGGGTCTCTTTACTTCTTTATGCAATGCAGGCAAATCACAGCTGGTGGGAAAGGCTAGCAGGGTGCTGTACATTGCTTCTTGAAGACATCACAGCACCCTGCCTCACTACTCCTGTCAGGAGCCCTTAGTCCTGATGCAAGCAGTTGGCTGGCTACAAAAGGGTGTGAGCGCATTATGACTAGGTTTGGCCTCTTTTGTATAATAAGCAGTTGGCTGGCTATAGGGAGTAGTTATGTAAATATCAAAATGCCTTGATGGGTGGGTGTCAGTTTGGAGGAGTGGGTATTCCTAGGCAGGCTGTACTTGCATGCAGACTGCCCTTGGTAACAGCCATATGTAAAGCTGAGCCTCCATCATTGGAAGAACTGAAATACAATGAACGAAAGGGGTGGACCAAGGTCAGTAAGGCTGCCGAGGAAACAGCTAGATGATGCTGGGTGTCCTCCAGCCAGGAAATAAAGCCAGAAATGACTCTATCTGACTTGTTGAAGCTTCTTATACACACTGTGAGCAGCTCTTAGCGTGCAGTGAGATCATAGTAAGTAATTTCAGTACAGGAGAGCTCACTATGCCCAGGAACTCCTCTTTTGTTCCCAGTTTTAATTACAGTTCTTACACATGTGGGATGTGAGTTTGTAGACCAATTTCAGATGCTTTATGTTTGTTCGCTATCATCATACACCTGTTTTTGTTTGCCTGACTCAACATTTCTTAAATAATTATAGTGACCTGGCAGAGATTTTGCAGTATCTTTGGAAAAGTCTTCGTCCAGTGCATTTACCATTTCTAGGTCAATTTAAAAATGTTTTAGCAAAGATTCACACGGCTTTCACCCACTTTTCTAAATGGATTCAATTGGAAAAATGAGTTGGGTGAATCTTGTGTGAAAATCTTAATAAATATGCCCCTGCTTCTTTTCATAACACTGCATATACACTGTTATAATGCGGTAATGCCCCATTTGACTTGGTCACCAAGTGAATGATTCAGTTCAACAGCACCTATTCAATAAGGTTTGGGATGGACTTCAAAACTATTACTTCATCTTAAAACAACAAAACCTTTACAGTCTTACCTGGTTATGTTATCAAGACCTTGAAAACACCCTTACTTTATATTTAGAATGGTTCCTACAAATAATCATTATTACAATACAAAGGATGCCAAGAGCACTATTGGTTAGCTAAAGAGACAACACACCAGACACTGCCTGCTTTAAAGTAGGATTTGTCTGAAAGTTCAGGGCCACCCAGTAAGGGCCCATTCACCCCACAGCATTGCATTAATCGCACGGCTCTGTGTGATTAATGCATGCTATCGCACAACACATCTATTGTGTTGTGTTACCAAAAGGCACCTCCTACATGGTATTGCATTACTGTGCATTGTGCTGCATTGCAGCCAGAAGGTGTGTTGGCAACGCAACGCTCCTAACGCATGATAAAGCATGCTGGCTGCGTTGTGCATTAGCTTACGTTAATTGTGTAGAATTGTGCTATTAACGCTACACTCAGATGTGAATGGGTCCTAAGGGATGAGTCAGTGCAATGTCATTAACTTGTGTATGTAAATTTCCTCATGAGCTATTGAGGTCTGTACCCAAAGCTTTTATAACAGTTAATAAAGATGCAAGATTAATAAGCCTGCTTGGCCAAAAATAAAACAAAATTTACATTTGTATATGCAATATTTCAGATATGTGATACTAGGAGTATTTATTTTATCCATCCATAAGGTAGAACAATCCTCTTAAGAAATAAGAATCTTCTCTATGTGCTGTTTAAAATGACCAATTGTTGGTCAGCCAAGCACACAAAAAGATAGGATATGTATCCAATACAGATTATTTTTGGCACCTTTGGAAAATTCTTTTTTAAGGTTATCCTGTTATTTCTATTGATATTGAAGTCCTGTACTCAAAGTAGAACACAATAGTTACACATTCTGGGTGGCAAGTCCGATGGAACCGAAAGGATATGAAATCACTCTGCTGCTAGAATGGAGATCTAAAAATATGACCCTCAGTAACCATCACAAAGAAACATTTGGTGATACTTTGTAATAACATATCATTACAATCACTTTATTGTTTATGTTTAATACTTCAATTAGATTAATTAAAAGGGTTAGTCAACCCAATACTGATAATTAACGTGCAACTGAAACCAAAACTTTCTCTTAGGTTTGTATGGAGTGAAGAGGGCTTAGAAAACCTTTCAGGTTTTTATTGATGTCTGTGTTAACCCTCTCAATTTGTCCTGGGGACTGTTATCTCTGAAAGTACAAGTGAAAGAAAATCCCACATTTTGGTTTGTCAGAACAAGAATAGATGGGAAATCCTCCAATGGGGACACTAGTTCTAGTGACCCTGCTGACCACAATGGATTTCCCTAGCTTTGGAGGATCAAGTGAGTATATCTGCCTTATTTGATCCTCCTAGACAAAATGAGAACTTAAAGTGACATTAAAGTCGAAAAAATGTTTCCCTCCCCCCAATGTTAGTGTAAGCACTTACCTTAAATGATGTTTCTTTATCCGATCTTCTTCTTCTTTCCTGTCGTTTTCATCTGTCCCTCCAGCGCTGCTGCAGGTCTCCAATCCAGCGTTGACTGCTCTGTCCTTGCTGGCACTTCCTGTCCCACGGTGTCTGCATGCGGGTGCACGCGTCCATAGACTTACCTTGTGTCTCTCCTCCTCTCCCGGCCAAAAATGTGAACTGCGCATGCGCCCGCCCCAAGATGCTTTGCGGCCGCCCGAGAATTTTCACATTTTTGGACGGGAACGCGCGGGGAAGACACAGGTAAGTATTAACCTCTTTTAATTTTACATTTTTACACTTTTTGCATATATCTACTGCTTGCTAGCAGTAGATATATGCAAAAAAACAGGAGGGTTTATTAAGGCTTTAACCCTTGCAGTGTGGGGGTAACTCCACTGCAAGGGTGTTTTTTTAAATTTCTTGTTTAAGTGTTTGGGATGTAAATACTCACACATATTTCTGAATTAATTAATTGGAAGATATGTTTGTTAATTTTGTGAACTGCTGTGTTTTCTTGTAGAACGCTTGTATTTTGCAACCTTGAGGAACAAACCAAAAAGTACCATCAATACTCACTATTTCTGTACTGATGAAGAGCTTGTTTATGAAAAGTAAGTCAAGGTTTATTCTTTTTAGTGTTCTTATGATCTTTCTGCATGTATACAAAAGTTTTCACTTGGAGGAGAGCTCCAGGAATTATTTTTTTTGTTCTAAATTGCGCACTGGTTTGAGTGGAGAGGGATTAGAACACCTGTCAGGTTTTTATTGTTGTCTTTGTTCCCATTAGGGAGATTCACCACCTATATTTGTACTGTTAGCATTATCAAAGTGAAAGATAAAATCCCAACGTTTAGGTTATCAGAACAGGAATAGATGGGAAATCTTCTAATAGGGACACTAGTTCTGGTGACACTGCTGACCACTAGGGATTTCCCTCACTTTGGAGAGATTTCCTCTTAAGTCCTGTTGCTACTATCGGACAGTAGGTGAAGGGAGATCTCCCCAATCGGACAAAAAAAAGCTGAAGGGGTTACAACCCTCCCTTACTCTATCCAAAACAAAAAAAAAACAAAAAACGTTTTGGCTGAAGTTTTACTTTAGATTCATATGGCTGTTAAAAATAAATTGCAACACTTGTGTTACAACATATAATAATAAGATACAACACTTACACATAGTACTGAAGTTAATTTTTAGTGTGTTTTTGACTGTTTAGGATGCATTTGTAAAGCGCTGTCTAAAGCATTTTGAAAGGAAATGTAAAAAAAAAAAAAAAAGATTCCCGAACGCCTTACAAGCATCCAGGGTGGGGTGCCTTATCCTTGACTTGAACTGAGGCATCTGACAAGCTTTTCAAGTTGGTAAATCTTGCGGTATGTTGCTAATTAGATAAAAAAAACAGTGGAAAGCAAGGCTCCATTCACACGCGGACTTCTGGGATTCCTGCAGCAAGAACCAATGGATTCCTACAGCAGGAATCCCAGTATTTCCCATTCAGGTGCGGCCGCTGTACCTATTGACGTTAGTAACAGGGTGACAGAGGCTGCATCTGTCAGCAGCAGTTTTGGATAGACGTTTGTCTAAGTTTATCCTATCATGTTGATGGCGTATCCCAATGGAGATGACTACTTCCAACAAGACAATGCGCCATGCCACGGAGCTCGTATTGTGCAGGAGTGGTTTCAAGAACATGAGGGAGACTTTACCTTGCATAGGTGGCCCCCACAATCACCAGATCTCAATCCAATTGAGCATTTGTGGGACGAAGTTGAAAGAGCCATCAGGCAGCTGGTTCCACAACCATCAAATCTCACAGAACTGGACAGTGCTATTCATCAGGCATGGTGTCAGATTCCTCACATCACCTTTCAACATCTCGTGTCAATGCCAAGTAGAATCGCCGCAGTATTGAAGGCAAAAGGTGGCCCAACAAAGTACTGATGTGGTGGTCATAATAATCTGGCCACTCAGTGTATATATGTAAAAGAGGACACCTGGGATTCCTACCACAGAAATCCACAGGTCCTTGCCGCAGGATATTCAGGATATTCCAAAATGCCCTGTTTAAATGGGGCCTAATGCCAGGTCCACTTATTTGCTAGCCCCCCACTTTAAAGCTAAGAATCCCAAATCCCACAGGAATGTGCTCCAAGACTGGATTCTTGTGAGATTTGGGATCCTACGCTTTTACAGGATCCTGTTAGAAGGACCAGTGATGTCACTCTCACTTAGGCAAGCATGCTAGAAGCCGGAGTGTAAGGTGAGTATTTATGTTTTTGCCAATGTTTAATTTTTTTGTTAGCTTGAACTCAGCACTTTTTATTTAGGCATTGGGGGCTAGCTAATAAGGAAACTTTGTAATGTCCACTTTTAGGTCAATACAGTCTGATATGTCCTGTCATAAGCTAAGTGGGATCCACTCACCAGCAGACATTCAGATATCACAGAGAAGCCCATGAAAGATGGTGAAAGAAGTAGAGCTCATCTATCATACAAAACTTTAGGGATCACCTATGACAGACTGGTTGAGTGTACACAATGGCTGTATAGATACTTCTGGAACAAATCTTGGCACATTAGTTAGCTGTTACAGTGACATTTTATCATTTCTTAGTTACCTTCCTTTTCTTTACTCTGTTGTTTTGCGATATTATTATTACTCACAATTTGTGGTCATTTTGGTGCAATAAAATTCAGGAACTATAACTATAATCAAAAAATATTTTAACACCCATTGGGATAGAAATGCATCTATCTGACCCAAAACATTATTTCCTTATAATGTTTCCTATCATATTCATTAGAGGTTATCTGTAGATCTATTAAAACTAGGGTCACTACACTCAATGTATATGCTATGTGTGGCTAAAGGCATAATGGTTAGTGGTACACAAATCTCACAATTCAACAATTCACTTCAGGCTGAAACTAAAGCTAGCCAAACACTGCCACTGTCAGAATACCTGAACAGTGAGACACACTATCCGGCTGACATTCGGGCTGTGTATGGCCCTGTCAGCACCACCCAGCTTTACAATTTTAATGTTCAATCAATACTGTTGAGTAAGCCGGGTGAAAATTATCAGATGAACAGCGACTGCAGCCATTCAGCCACAGTCACTGTTTGAGAATTGTGATGGTGGCAGGCTGTCAGAATACAATATCCTGACAGGAAAGATTTGTCCATCCACGTTGTTTAGCAAGGATTAAGGAAACTGTTAGATATTTTTTGTTCAGGCTAAGGCCTCATTCACACGACTAACAGCCGGCCCATACAGATTCGTGCTGCCTGCACGGCCGTATCGGGCCACTCCCAGGAAGGACAGGTGCTGCATGTGATTGCTCGCAGCAGCCTGTTCTTCTCTATGGGAGTACGCCACCATACGCTCACCCGAACTGCACGTCCGTGTGGGTATCCCTGCTCGGACGCAGACAGGATCCATCCCGCATGGACGTGCAGTTCAGGATCCTGGCTGCGTCCCAGCAGGGACACCCGCACCCGCACGGACGTGCCGTTCGGGTGAGTGTACGGCGGCGTACAGCAGCATACTGACATAGAGAAGAACAGGCTGCTGCGTTCAATCACACGAAGCACCTGTCCTTCCCGGGAGCGGCCCGATACGGCTGTGCACACAGCACGGATCTGTACGGGCCGGCGGTTAGTCATGTGAATGAGGCCTAAATGAAAGAAATCTAAAGGTATATGACCTGCTTGAGAGGTGTAAGCTGTTACAGTCTGTGTTTTTTCGCTTGGTCAGCTTTGCGTGCTTGTGTATGAATAAATCATGACTGTATGTGGCATTTATCATCAGACTTCAGTTGACATCGGATAAGGTAACAAGACAAAAGCTATATATTAAAGGGTTTAATTAAAAGTGGAGGAATGAAAAAGATGAAGATTTAAAATTGTATTTGCTAGCCTGCCCAGGATGAAGCAAAATGGAATTTGGTTGCAAAAGGCAACATGTACAGAGTTTATAAATCATGCCTTATGCTCCAGGTCAGGGACAGTGTCTATTAACGCCTGTTAATATAAATGATGATAATCTTTCAGCCTCTCTGTGTACTTCCAAAACCGAAATAATATAAAAAAAAAAAAAAAGTTTCGGTTTTCAGGGTCATAAACATAATGATTGCTGACAAGGGAGCATTGTACTAGGTAAGAGTGTAGGCGTTATGATTTACTTGGTAGGAAAAATAAAGAGAATCTGGTCAAGCATAGTTGGCACACAGCTTTGACCTACTTTTTTCCAAAGAGGGACTCATCATTGTTAATTCAGTAGAATTCTGATATTTCCATCTTATTAACCCTGCTCCAGATTGGAGCGTAGGGAATGTCAATTGAATCTAATGGAAGACAAGCTTTATTTCCTGCAGTTAGCATTTTCCCTTGTTTGTAGAGGAAATGGCTGAGAGTTATATATTCTGCAGTGGAACCCTAGAGTTCTAAGTCTGATGAGATAGCAGTGGATATGGTATTATTTTGTATGGTGGGGCTTTCTGGTAGTAGGTTAAGAAGCACTGCTTATAGTAGTATTGTTGTTATAGTGGTAACACTTAAACTTTTTTCAATGATGAACCCATATCAAACAAATATAATTGCCCAGCAAAGTATTTCTTTAAACTTTTCCCATGAACTTACAGTCACCATGTTTCCAAACAGCTGGTTCCAACTCTCTGAGCTCTGCTTACCTGAACTTCATGTCCAGTACACGATCACAGTCTCCAGCAACTGTACATCTACTAGTTTGGAGAAAAGAGGAAGTAGGAGTGGGGAGAAGGGAGCAGGGGAGTGGAATGCCTTGCTTTGTCTGTGTATTTGTTGAGACACACACAGCTTACTAGCACACACATGGGTGGCTCCATAAGGTCATGCAAGGTAAAGGAGCCACCGTAAAACAGGATATCAGGGCCAGTGGTCAGGAGACCAGCTGATTCTGCAGGAAGCAAACCTTTTAAACATTAAGGAGCAGCATTCATTATAAGTGATTTCATCAGCATTTGAAATAGTCTAAAAACCTTTTGACTTTAAAGGCCACCTTTGCGGAGGTATTTAAAAAAAAAAAAACATATGCCAGCAATGTACGCTGAGTGAACATGAAGCAGCATATGCAGTTGCTGTTTATAAACACAGAAACCTACTTTTTTCTGTCCTCTTCATCTCCTCATGGCTCCTTTTGAAAAGGCCGCCTCTGTTCTTTGAAAGCAGTCTGTGTATATTAACACTTTCTCTCTGACCTCTCGCCCCCTATTCATTAGCATTCATAGTGGCAACCCCCCTAGACAGTATATTGTGATCTGGGAAGGCAGAGCCGGTGTGCAGTGATCTTGTTACAATGACTCACAGGGAGGGGGTCAGCTGCTTTACAATCTGACCCCAGTGTCAGGCTGAGTTTCCTGTGGAGAAAATGTTTAATTTGTAGGACTCAGGCCTACTAAAAATTTGAAAAAACATCATCACTGCACCTCTACATTGCCACAATGCTGATCACTTACAAAAGTGGAAATGGGCTTTAATACCACTTTAAATATGTCTGCTTTGGTTGCTATCTAGACCTCAGTATAATACATTCTGGACGCCTTCATTTATGACACCAGCCATGTCACCAGG